TGAGCGAGTGGCGGCTTTCTGACTATTTATTTCAGGGTATCCCGATTGTGACGGCCGGCATGGCTCAGAGCTGGTGGACCGGCTGGATCGCAGCCAAGATCGAGGGAACGTGAGTCCAATGCACAGCTCCTTCGCTTCGTATGGCGCCAGATCAAGCTGACAAGTCTGTTCTCTATTCCAGTGGCGACATCGCTTTCGAGATGGGCTTCGTCGTTGTCGGTCTCGTGTACTTCCCTGCGCGTTACCTCGAGAGGAAGTACACCGGGCGGTAAGCGAGTGAGCGTGCGAGGTAATGGGATTCGGGGTGACTGCTGCATATCTGCGCAACAGTCGGGTGTTTGGTTGTCTCCAGGGGTGTGCTGTTCGCATTGGTTTGGTATAATTTCAACATTGTCATTGTTAGCTGAGGTTTCAGGCATCTTTGGGTGGCTAGTCCAATGCATCAGACCTATCATATAGCAGTCATTCACGCCTGTCGTCCATGATGGGGATCATCCGTAAACCAGCTGTGGAAAAACGACTTCTCTTCCGTGCCACTTCCCACACACCCGTTACGTAAGATGCTAATCGAGCGCTAAGCCGTTGACCGGACTCGCGGCTCTGGGCCTCTGGCTGAAGGCGACAACGACGGAAGGTCATGTATGCTCCTTCTTTCTCTCACAAAGTCATTCAAGACCCATAGGCGGACCCTTCTGCAGCTTAGCCGTCCAGAAGCTATCCCTCAAGCGTAGCAAACACTCAGACACAATCACCAACCACTTCACTACCCCCGCTCATCCGAGCGACGCACCCACCCTCCCGGCCCCTTCCCGTCCCTCTCCCCAGCGCCACACCGCCACCATGTCCGACGCAGCCTTCACCCAGCTCCTCGACATGGGCATACCCGGCGGGAGGGCCCGCGCCGCACTGAAGAGGTCCAAGGGGGACGTCATGTCTGCTGCGGTGAGTGTTCCCACGCCCAACGGGTATGACGTGCGATATCGGGTCGGAATGGCTGATTACGGTGGTGGCTATGCAGGAGCGAGTCTTCTCGGGTGATTTCAATGATATCCCATCGGATGATGAGGGGATGGAAGACTCGGGGACGGCAGCGGGGAGCAGTAAAGCGGCTGCAGCAGCAGCTGACGAGGATGAGGATGCGGGAGAGGATGGGGCGGATGGGGGCGACGAGGATGGCGACGAGGATGGCGACGAGGATGGCGACGAGGATGGCGACGAGGATGGCGACGAGGATGGCGACGAGGCCATGTACGAGAGCGACGGTGGGGACAGCGGGCAGGACGACTACGGCGAGGACTTTGGCTATGGTGACGGTAAGTCTGATCCATATGTTGACGTCAAGCACTCGAGAATCATACTGACTCGCCGTGGCATGTAGAGGACGACGAGGACAACCTCATGAACCTCGTCTCAGACCCTTACGCCGGTATCTTCTTCTCCAAAGACCGCGTGGAGGAGATCATCGAGCCCATTGAGGAGAAGGTGGTGGCCAGCGTGGCGATTCCCGGTCGCGGCTTGGTGAAGGCCACGATACTGGGGAGGGGCGAGTGGATGAGCGGGTGTCCCGAAGGGTCGGAGCAGAGCTTCTTGTTCCAGCTGTATAACACGCTGGAGGAAGGGCACTTGCCGTGCTCTGGGTGTGGGCACTTGTTCAAGAGGAAGAAGGAGGACTTCTTCGCTCTCTTTGTGAGCTCATTAATCGTCTCCCGTATTGCGGATAGGCAGCTGATGTCAACTCGCCACAGAGCGACTTCCCCACCTATGTGGACTACCTTTCCAGCATCATCCGCCCCAGCTGCCCCAAATGCCAATCCCTGACATGTCTGGCGTGCGGCGACCGCGTCGACCGCCCATCCGCCAGCGCTCGGCATTCCAACAGCGACAGCAACACCAAGGGCAAGAGCAAAGTCGGCGCTGCGCACGACTCGCTCCTGCACTGCCCTAATGTGCAAGGTGCCATCCTCGGTGTCGGGCTGCACATGATCGACAAGACCTTTGCCGCTGGCAAGGACAGTACTCTCAACGCCTCGTCGGGCGCGCAGTCCGGCGACAAGAAACGTAAGAGAAAGTCGTCAAACATAACCCCAGCTCCTCCTGTTCCGAAAGTGGCTGAAGACGACGACGGGTCTGATTTCGATGGCAATCTTACTGCAGGCGCCGCGAAAAGGGGTACGGGGTATGACGGGGCTGCGGTAGAAGATGTGAGTCATTCTTGGGCCCATATGATGCGCCTGTAGACTCAGCTGACAAATCCACCATGCAGCGCTCTGGCCAGATCAAGGCCGAGAAGGCCCAAGTCGAAGCCGACCAGGTAACGGCCAAGCTGATCGCCCAAGTCCGCGAGTTCCTGCCCAACATGAACCGCGCGGGCGAGCCCCGCGCGTCGGACCACCTAGTACATCCGACTGCCTTGGCGCACCTCCGACGCAGGAGCATGTTTGTCAACGACCTGCTGAGGAACGACTCGCTGTTTGACATGTCGAAGCGGGATCAGCTTTACAGGACCCTCTTCGACTGGCTTGAGGTAAGCTATGTTCCATGTTGGCGGCCGCCTGGACATCAGCTGAGATGTTGTCAAGATTGTCTCAAATCACGAGGCACTCGCAACCATGTTAGCCATGCCTAGCATGCGACCCGTCAAGTCTGCTCCCGTACCGAACGACCCCTCCGCCTTGCTCGTCACTTACGAAGGCTCGCCAAGCCCGCGCGAGATGCTCGAGTCGCTCGTCATCCAGGCGACGGCGGCGCTTAAAGGTCTGGAGGGTGTCAAGACAGCCGATGGGGACGTGCCGTTGACGGAGGAGGAGTTGAGGATGACGGTACAGGAGGTGGCGCAGAGGGAGAAGGAGAAGAGTAAAGCGGAGACGACGACTGAGAACTATATCCTGAAGAAGTTCTGGTAGGTCCTCCAGCGATAGCGTGTGCGCCCAAATTAAGAGCTGACACGCTTGTCGCAGCCTCCGAATTCTCAACTGCGCCGAGACAATCGACCGGCGATTGGCAGAGACGAAGGGCAAGGCGTTTGTGCAGAGGATGCACAGCTCACTGTCTCGTGCAGGGGCCACGCTGGACGAGGCAGCCGGACAAGGGGCCACGGACGAGAGCGTTATCAAGATCTGTGAGCTCTAGCATAGCTCTCTGTACGAGGATCGATCTGACGATAGCGTAGACGAGGAGTGGGCTGGCAAGGCTCGGTTCCAGTATTGCGATCTAGCAACAAACCCCGGGCCGGACGGTTCCCCTGGGTACCACCATGCGTACAATGCCCCTATCATTAGCCTGGAAGGAACAGTGAGACAACCCGATATCCTCTTGCGTTCAAAAGACATTACTGACTATAGCTTCCTTCAGAACGTTCCCAAGCGTTCCCTTGCCATTGCCAAGGAGCTTGCAATCCTCACGACTAACCTTCCTGTCGCGTGGCACTCCACCATCTTCCTTCGCGTGGACGAGGCGCGTGTGGACGTGCTCAAGGCGATGATTGTCGGCCCAGAGGGAACTCCGTACGAAAACGGGTGCTTCATCTTTGACATCTTCCTGCCTATCGACTACAACATCAAGTGCCCGCTTGTCAAGACCATGACAACCAACGGCGGGAGGTACAGGTACAACCCGAACCTGTATGCCGATGGGGTGAGTCTCCCGTTGTGGCTTGGGTGTCTGGCGTGGATGAGTGGTGCGGGTGCTGACAGGCTTCTTGGGAATGTAGAAAGTGTGCTTGAGCTTGTTGGGCACATGGAGTGGTCCGGGGTGGATCTCGGGGCAATCGACCTTGCTCCAGGTGTTGATCTCTATCCAGAGTCTGATCATGTGTGAGGAGCCTTACCTCAACGAGCCTGGTGAGTCTTCTTTGGTGCATTTTTCTTATTTGTGGCGCAGAACGCTAATGTGGTCTTGCAGCATGGGCCAACGACACTGGGGTGAGATCCATCATGCGGTACGACTCTGCTTCACTGTCGACAAGCTGACACGATACCGCATTCACAGACTCCTGCGAGTAAAGCATACAGCGCAAACGTTCGCCGGATGACACTCGCGGACGCCATGGCGAACAACATCAAGAACCCGCCTTATCCATGTGAGCCGCCTACACCATAGATCAACATCGAGAGTTGATCGCTGATGACATACCCCACCTACAGTCGAAGAGGAAGTGAAGACTCACTTCCGACTCAAAGCTAAGGCAATCCGTCAACAGATCGAGAAGTGGCGCGCACTAGACGACGGCTGCGGTCTTACCGGCGACTCGCTCAGCGCCGAGGGCACTACCTCAAAGTCCAACTCGTTCAAAGATGCGGCGAAGGAGGTGCTGCGGCTCTTGGATGAGCTGGAGGGGAAGGACCCGTCAGCGATGGAGGTGGAGGCTGAGGCGAAGACAAAGAAGGACAAGAAGGAGAAGAAAACGGATGTGAAGAAGACGACTAAGAAGGCGGTCAAGACAAAGGCGAAGTAGAGCGTTGACCTGTATCGGACAGTATCTGGGGTCGGACGAGAGCAGACGATTTGAAGGGTACTTATATCCTAGCAGCATGTACCGGAGGGAGTGAGGTGACTGTGGAATTAACATGCCGTAGCGGTGTAAGTCTCATTTTGGAGTCGGGAGCAGGCCAGGTGATCCAGGTGATCAACATACATGGCCGGGTACGAGCACAGTTGCGTTGTACTCCGCGCGGTAGATTTAATGAGGTCTATGCATCATGAGTTCTGTGCTTCTTGTTCATGTCTCACACGCCTTCTCTGATAGGACCTTGTCGGCCTCAAATTAGGTGCACGCATAGTAAACCACTGATAAGATGGCGGCGCCACCAGCCACATGCGCTCAGCGGCTCACACATGCACACCCCAGGGCATGCACTTCTCTCTACGCATCACTCTACTGATGTCCGGAACTGGTGTGTCTTCTCTACAAGCGTATGGGCATTGCATGCATGCCAAAAGGATCGTTCCCAACTGAAGAGGTAGGATGAAAGGAAGAAGGTAGAAAAGATGCAAAAAAGAAATGCCTTCTAGCCGATTCGAACGACTGACCTCCCCATTAGAAACTGTGACCGTTGAGGGTCGACTTGATGTTACTAGTGGGGTGTTATAACCAACTAAACTAAGAAGGCTTGATTTCCTGTTTGGCCTCAAATTACAAAACCCATATTCACACGCTAGTGCGTTAACAGATGCTCGTTCATTAGCTTGGGTGTTTTCTTCACAACGATATGCATGGATAATGTCAACACCAGTTGACTAACACAGGAATGTTGGTGAACAGATGAGCCGTATTACAGTCCCTACTGCCTAGACTGTCGCCCTCATTGAAGAAACCACTCTTCACCGAATCAACTACAATTTACCGGAGTTCGGACCACCCTCCTCCTCACGTCATCATCGTAGCCGGTTCAGCGTACACCAAGATTAAGAACCACGGCGGTTCAGACCTACTAGATTGCACAGATCTATCCGCCTATTCATCCATTTATCTTTGACAACGGAATCGCCTCCTTGTTCAGGCCACTGCCATGCAGTTCCGCGATGTAACCCTTGCTTTCCTTCCGCACGTAACGGCGGGCGCCATTTTGCTTTGTCAAGACAAGGAGGCAGAGCGATACGATGTGCATGTTGCTGACAGAAGATGATGACAATACTAGTCCTACCGAGTGGGGGTTGCAAGAAGAATATGTGCATGTACTCTGTAGTTCACGTAACGTACCATGTACGAGCACGGTACGTACGCTATCATCTACTTCACGTTAAAGCGTGTCTCATACGTGCTGCGCTGGGCTCCATCCCCTGGCTACTACACAGTTGTCATCGTGCAGTGAGAGCTGATTTCCAACAGCTCAAGTGGACGGAAGCATGCATACGTACAACTTGAAGAATTGGGGGCAAGACTAAGAGGCCATAGGATGGACGGGCTACGTTGACGGTATATGGTTTTTGCAATTTGAGGTCAAACAGGAAATCAAGCCTTCTTAGTTTAGTTGGTTATAACACCCCACTAGTAACATCAAGTCGACCCTCAACGGTCACAGTTTCTAATGGGGAGGTCAGTCGTTCGAATCGGCTAGAAGGCATTTCTTTTTTGCATCTTTTCTACCTTTTTCCTTTCATCCTACCTCTTCAGTTGGGATCGATCTTTTTTGGCATGCATGTATGCTATAAGTGACAAGCCCTTGCACCAGATGATATGCTTGACCATATGGACATGCATACTAATGATCCGTCGTTTTCTGGGGACGGCTGACATCGTCTTGCGGATGCAGAGCAGAGAATTGCCTGGCTTCTTAATGGACGAGCACTACCCTACACGCTCTACAGTTTCCTTGATGGTGCCCATGGCGCACTGTGGGTCTCCCCAATGTTCCTTCACACGTGCATGCAGTATGTCTACTACATTCTCGCTTTTGATCATCGCCATGCTACAGTAAACATGTACTCGGCTTCTCACATACTCGGCCGCGTCTTCTTCACCCCCTCACTAGCGCTCACGCTCTTCTTCAACTTCTTCCCGCCGTTCCACTCTCGCACGGCACCGTGATCTCTCCCGATGGGGTCCTCCTTCTTCACCTTGTAGATCCTCACGATCCAGTTCTCCGACGTGAACGCCTCGTCTGTCGTGGCGAGACTTGGATCAGCAAGTGCGGCGGTGGACAGGAGGTGGGAACGGCCGAACTTACCAAGGGTGTCAAGCGTCACGCCGTTTGGAGGGATGGTTTGCCCTCGGACTCGGTCCTGGGCAGGGTGACCACCGAATAGCTCCGGGAATCTGACATACAAGTCAGCCGACGGCGTCTTTGGGATTAGCTAGTGTCAGCTCACCGGTAGTAGCTCATCTTGTACATGAGCGAGTTCTTCATGGTCGGGGTCCTGTATGGCGAATGTCAGTTGCTGATGGCCATACAGCCAGAGAGCAAGAATCGACTCACGCTCGCTCATCCACAGCGTACTCTCCCCTCTGAGTGAAGTAGTTCACCTCCTGCACCTCATCCGGCCACTCGCCCTGCGCAATCCTGACCATCCACAAGAACTTGTTGATGTCATCGCCCGAGTATCCAAGCAGACCACCAAAGATGACCAGCACGTAGTCCACATCATGCTTGCGCAGGATGGGGTACGCAATCTCCTCGCTGGACGACATGGCCTTACCGACCGTGGCGATGTGAGTGTTGTTCCACGTGTTGTTGTCCACGAGGGTGGGGCGGTCCGCCATACCCGCGATCTGGTAGCCATAGTCCCACCAGGACATGATGACGCTGTCCTCGGCGGTGTTCTGGCGGATCCAGTAGTACGCCTCGCGGAAGTCGTCGATGATGTTTTGGCTGCCGTCGGCGTTGCGCGAGGCGAGGACGACGGACGGGGAGGAGTAGGCCGAGGAGGTGACGTAGGTGCAGTGGAAGACGAAGATGAAGAGGAAGAGGGAGAGGACGGAGACGACCGCGAAGCGGGTGTCGAGGCCAAAGATACCGGAGGTACCCTTGTTGCCGAGAAGGCCGGTAAAGGCAAACTCGGACTTGTGCGCCTGCTGCGCTGCCGCAATCTTCTTGGCCTTGGTCTTGGAGACGGGCTGGGCCGACTGCTCTTCCGTCTCCTCGTCGCTCTCGGGGATGACGGGGTTGATGTACGTCTCGAGGAGCTTGGAGAAGGCGATGGCCGCGCAAACGCAGACCACCGGGGTGATGACGAGCATGAGTCGCACCATGACACCGGCAAAGTAGGCACTAAGCACGGAGTAGATGATGATGAAGACTTGCTCGTCTCGGAGCTCCCTGAAGCACCAGAAGACGCCCGCGGGGAAGAAGAAGATGAGCATCTCGAGGTCGAAGAAGAAAGCGGGCCAGGCGGTAGGCTGGTGCTCCGAGACGGATGCGATGATGGGCACTGCAAAACGTTGTCAGCCAGTGTCCAACGATGGATCATGATGAACTCACTGTGAACCTTGGCGTAGCCAGTATCCCAAAGAGAGTAGAATCGTCCCGCGAACGGCGCAATCCACCCCGAGAACGTCAACACCACGAGCGCCGCAAAGCTGATGCAGAACGCCACGACGACAAACGCCCTCAGCAGCAGCTGGAACTGCTTCCCGGGCACCAGCCGACGGACGGTCTCGACAAACGCCACGAGCTGCAAGAGCCCAAAGACACCGAGGGCCGCCATGTGCTCCGAGGTTCGGATGGGGAGGAACTCGACGAAGGGCACCTGCATGGAGGCGATGGTGCCGATGGCGTACCACGAGGAGTAGGCGGTGTAGAGGCGGTTGTTGAAGCGGCCCATCAGGAGGAGGACGAAAGCGTGGAGGGGGATCACTGTTGGTGTATGGTCAGTTGGGTACCATGCGCCTCTTTAAAAGACTCTACCCACTGTTGGTGATAAACACGTATCCACCCCAAGCGGCCACCATCCACCCGTAGAAGAGCGCCGTGATCATGCCCCATAGCGAGCTACCGGTCTTGAGCGCCTTGATCCAGGAATAGAACGAAGCCATGAGGATGAAGATGGCAATGGCTTCGTTGTCGTAGGACCCCGCGACCGATCGAGAGATGTAACCGGGGGCAATGCCAATGAAAGCCGCAGCGAGCAGACCGGCAGAGGGGGTAGACATCTCCGCGGTGAACCTAGCATTTAGATGAGCTCGCGCACGTGCCTGCGTCAAGAGAACGTCACGTACAAGTATGTCGCCCAGGCCGTCAGCCCAGCGAACCCGGGTGCCAGCATGACACAGACATTACGAATGTCGACGGGCATGTTGATGGCGCGAAGGGCGTGCCAGATGAGACCGGAGGTGACCATGAGACCGGGGTAGAGGGTGGTACCGACGGTTCGGCCGAGAGGATACCACGCGCTGGGGTCGAACCAGTTCCAGAATTCCTGTCGTTCAGAGTGTAAGTCTATATCTTCCGGCGAAGCTGTTCGGCTGATAGCAGGAAGCTCACGTCGAAGCCCTCGTTCACCAGGACCTTTGATGCTCGGCTGTGAGGAGATGCGTCAGTGGTACTTCCCTCACTTGCAACTACACCCAACATACAAATTGAACCAGGGGTCACTGTGAAGGTGAAGCATGTCAGCTACCTGACACAACGTATGACATAGTGAAGCCTATGGAGTCTCTGTGTAACTCACAACTCGTGGATCACACTCTCAAACCTGATGACCGCGAACAGTCTGCTTCCGATGGCAGCCCCACATATCAACGCCAGAATCACGAATCGCAGCAAGCTTTTCGTGTTGTTGATCCCCTCAGCAGACAGCCCCGTCGGCAGCGGATACGCCAGCTGCTCAGGCCGAGCGGGTGCCACGGGTACCGCGCTCTGGAAGACGGGGGTGACCGGCGTAGGAGGCGCGTTCAGCTCGACGGGCTTGACGACAGGCTCGTCGACGGGGAGGTTGGTGGCAGCGGGAGTGGCCACGGGCGTGGCAGTCCTCGAGCCCTTGGGCGTCTTGGCTTTTGGTGCCATGGTCAAGGCAGAGGAGGGGGGCGGGCGACGTGAAGAGGAGGGATGCTGCGCAATGAGATGCGACGCAGCAGCTGTTGGCTGGGAGGAAGGGAGAGTTTGCCCGGCGGGTGTGGCTGGGCGGTGGGCGGAGGATAGTAGGCGGATGCCTGGGATGCCGCTGTACCTATGTGGTGTGGTAGTCGTCGAGAGGGGGGGGGTGCTCTCTTGGAAGGTGAAGAGATGGGCTGAATGGTACAGCACGCACTTGAAAGACAACTACTGGCTCGTCGCGGAGATGCGCATGACGTGGAACACCGAACGCGCCGGCTTATTCCGTCCCCCCATATAAGTGCTTCCTCCAAGTCCCAGGCGGAAGAGCGAGCCTCCTTGTATACTTACTCTGTCGTGCCTGTATGGTCATCTTCAGTCCACACTTCACCATAACCCCCCGCCACATACCACCTCTCCGCCATGGACCAGCATAACCCCCTCTCAGAAGAGCCTCAACCCTCTCCTTCCGCGCCTCTCCAACCGCATACCACCTCTCCTTCGACCTCCTCCCTTCCCCTCCGCCACTACCTTACCCCGCCGAACACGTCGACCATCGACGACACCCTGACCCTCATCTCTGCCTTCCTCAATGTCCCCCTCGTTCACGAGACACAATGGCACGTGAAAATCCACGCTCT